TTTTTTTTGATTGAATTTCTCATTGGAGAATTTCAGAACTGAAGAAAGAGTGTGGCATGTGTGTGTGTCTGTGCGTCTCTGTGTGTGTATGTCCCTAGGCTCTGCCATAATCCTTAGCTTCAGAAAAGTTAGGAATTTCAAAACCTCTATCAAGGGCTCCTTTTACACTTTTACAACAGTTTACATATCAAATGATGCAACACTTATCAGAATAACTCTTATCTGAAAAGGGTCAATCATTAAACAAAATTATTTCTTCATTGTGAAGACTTCTTTATTCTCTTTAAAAATTGGTAGGGTTTTTGCTAAAGAGCAGAGAGAATTTCTGTGACCACAGCTGAGAAAGGTGTGACCTTGCTGATTTTGGGAGTTTCTTTGCCCTGTTTCCAAGTGGGCCATAGGAATCAAATGCTGTCCTTATCATCCTGATTATGCAATTGTTATATGTTTCCAACGTGCTAGTTTTGTAAAAAAGGGTGCTAGTCACACCCTTCTTGCTATACTCTCTCTAAAAGAAATCTTCTCCATTCACCTACAGACCTTTTTGTAGTCTGTGTCCTTTGCTTGCTCCTTGAATGGCCTTACGAATATTTGATTGAGAGAAATAGACCCTGCGTGCCTGTTGAATGGACTCAGAGAAAGTCCCCTGCAAATTCCCCAGCTTCCAGGAAAGCTAAGAGAGCTTTTCTTATYTCTTTTGTTATTTTATTTTCTTTGAAGGGTTCCTTTTGTGACTGTTGTGACTATGTTCTTTAATATATMTCCTTTGAATTCTTTGGAAGTGCTATCACAGCTTTTGGGAATAAATTACTTTAACTGAGAACTTTATCAATGGACCAGCACTTCTCCTAATTTGACCTATATAAGAGTGTTGTAAATAAAATATTTTTTTAGGTTCATGTTCATTTAGTCCCCTTCATAGACCCCCATTTTCTTTTCAAACAGTTGCTTAGAGACCAGTTCATTCCACAGGATGGAAATGTATAACTGTACAGTTTTTTGAATATAAACCTTTGGATTTATAGAAACATTTATTTCAATAAATGTCATTCAGAAAAGACCAATGAAAAATAATTAATGGAACCCCATAACATAAATTTTATTTATGTATTGAACCTGAAATGATCTCTATTTATCATAGTGCTGCACATTTAATTTTCTTTACCATTTTCTAGCGCATTGGAAAATTAACTGTGTTTTAGTAATTTTTAAAATTATTTGAATGCCTTAATTTATTTAAGTTTTTTTAATATCTGGGTATGTGCRTAAGGGTTTATCTCAAAGTCACCAGTAAGCAACTACTTATTTTAATCTTGGTGTTATTAATTGATTTTAATGCAAATTAKGTGTCAAACATTCTTTGAAGATCCAGAAGTAAATTATTAGTTTCTAATTCTGCAAAGACTAGAATGAAGTAATCTGTTTGCATGCATGAGTTTGGTAATTAAAAGTTTATAGGGATCCCATCAGTAGTAATTAAAGATTCAATTATAAAATTCTGGAGCATTTGCTTAAGAATTCGTGGAGGATATTGGTGGTAAAACCAAGAAAAAATTCCGGACACATTTCATCCTTTCATCTGGCAGAATAATCAAAAAATCTCCCACTTCTTTCCCAGGGTATTCACTCTTTGTACTTAAACTACTTACAGTCCAGGTATTGGCTGTTTGAACTGTGATGTACAAAATATTCAAAGAAGAATTTTTCTCTATGTTCAGAAGAAAARCTGCTCCCATTTTTTCATGGAAATTTATCGAATACTAACTAWCACTGACTAAAATTTACAAGTAGTTAAGTACTTAAGGTAAAAAATGAATTTGCATAAGCTACTACATAAAAAAACCCCCAGTAGCAATAGTATATTTCAACAGTGTATGTCTTTCAGTCTGGTAAAATGCATACTTAGATTTTCTGTTATTATTTCATCCCTTTATAATTTTGAGTTGAGAGTAAGTTGCACCTGATAACTCATCAGTGATTTTTATCTTCCTCTTGTTTCACAAGATCTGTTGCCTTACCAAAATGACTTTTAATGAAAATAGTTTTAATTAATTCCTTGCATAGAATGAAATGCTTAGTTAATGAAATTTGTTCTAGGTTTGTTTAAATTTAAATTGGTAYTTTGTCTAGCAAGCGTTTCTCTCTTAAAGGAGTACAGGTTCAGAAATTGTTTGTCAAGTCACTGAACTCAATCAGCTGTTAATGAAGGACCTTCTCATAAACTTGTTGACCTCCCCTGACTCTGAGATCACATTTGGAAAAACTAAGCATCCTTCCACAGACTGTTACAGAATCCCACATAGTCTGCTATGGACTTCAGATTTTTTSAAGGCTCCTTTATACATTTTCTTGTGATTACCTTAAATAAAGTGTGTCCAAAACATCATTTGGTTTAAATAACATGATTCTCAAACAGGTACTTTTTGCAATAAGAATGAAAATGAATTTGTTCAACTTCACTAATGAGCATTGATTTGGAAAAGCAAAAAAAAAAAAGAAAAAATTGGCAAATCCCTTTAAGTTAAGCATTCTGGAGAAACACTTTTATGAAAACAGTGCTACAGTGATACTAAACCCAGAATTTTAAACCTTTGAAAACACGCTTTCAGGAGATCAGAGACAACCTTTAGAGTTTGATGCTGATTCTGTGCTGCCCTGATTGAAAGGACCCTGGAAAGGTCCATCRGGCGTCTGTTCAGGGGAGGATGCTGTCCAGAGCAGCCACTGCTGACACTTCTGACAGACACCTGTGCTAAGCAGAGGCCCCTTGCAGGGAGCACAGGACACAAGCTAAACAGTCTTGTGGGTTGTAAAGGAAATGAAAGAAATAAGTGGCCACTGTAAGTGAAATTCTGAACACATTTGGAAGCTTTAACTTAGACAATTAGATTCTTAAACCAACAAGTGCTTACTTTTTTTTTTTTTTTTTTTTTTTTTTTTTTTTTTTTTTTTT